TGTTTGTTTTTTGAATTTCGCGCAAAGCTACACGAGGGCTATCTGCGCTAGCCATCCCTAATTTAGCAGTGCAAGACTAGAGGGAAGGCAGCTAGTCATCACCACCCATCGCCAACTCTTGGGCTACTCTTTTACCAACGAATAGTGGGATTGACCGTCACATTATAACGCCCCTATGGCTGAAAGGGCGAGCATGTTTGGTGTAATGGGGATTCGAACCCGCGACCCTCAGTTTGCGAGTCGAGCGCCTTAACCACCTGGCCATGCCGGGCCTCAAAATTGTGTTTCCAATTATTGCTATATTTAATTATTCCAACTATTCAAGTAATCAAATTATTATTATTTTTTTATTAACTCAAGTTTATTCAGTTACAGACTAGTATGGCCCATTGATTATTAATCAGGGTGTTGCCTCGTGATTCAAGGGCTGTGGATTCAACTCCTGTTGCCAACAGCCATGCTCAATCTTTCACTCACAATGCCATTATATTTGTTTCTTTGTTTTTGAGTTATGACAAACCAAATATAGTTATTTACCACTGACCAGAGGGAAGCAACTGTCCGGCAGTACCCACTGCCAACTATTGGGTTGAAATGCATGTCACACGACCTTTTAGTGTTACATTCAAATTTAATTAAACAACTTTATTATTAATGAATGGAAATAAAAATTACAAGAAAATGCAGTTTATAATTCAAATGTTTATATTATCTAAGTTTTAACTCATTAATTTCAAAAAGAAATATCTAAAAAACTCTCAATCTTAATTTTTTTATGTCATTTGACATGTCTCGGATCCAATTTCACTACTTCAGAATTAATTTCTAAAATACTGCTACAGCGTCCAACCAACTAGAAACACAAACTACCCATGATTACAAACAATAATTTAAACTTTGAACATCCTACTCATTTGATTTGCTCCAATCTTCTGACTTTCAAGATTATTTGATCAACTTTATATGGTTGATGAACATGTTTATAACCAATAGAAAGAGCAGGTTTTTCTCTACATAAATTATAAAATTCTGTGTTCAGTAATTCCCTTCACAAGCCATTGAAAATTGGTTGGTTCATGTTAATAAGATTTAGTGCATATGTAGAAAACTGAGTAAACTATAGTAGTTTTGGGATATTCTATTCTAGTGATTGATATATTTTCTGTGTTCTAATAAACATATCTGAAGGCTACATGAATTTTTGGACACTTAAGTTTGTGAGACTCAACAAGGCTTAGGAAGAAAATAAATATTTTTGAGTGCAAACAGCTCAAGTAGGCAGTGAGTACTACAAAGCCTTATTTCTATGTATATACATAGCCTAACTAAACTTTAGTACAATAAAATATCACTAGCTCCATCCAACATGGTATTAAACTTGACACTTGGATAGCATGCTGTTAACATTAGCTCTACGGGAAATAGCTAGAGTTCTTGTGATTTATTACTTTGACACATGAATTACTGCTCCAGTGGGTGTAAAGTAGAAGAATAAAATTAAAAGATAACAGATAAAACTATTATGATAAGTAAGTTGGAACATTCTTATCAATACTGCATTTAGTGCAGAGGAAAAAATGGTACTATTCATTTTATTTCATATTTTTCAACTTTTCACTTTACCATACATTGACAATTTCTCTACAGTTAATGTTAGGACAGAGAAAATAACAAGTAAAGTATAAAATTTTACCATAAAAGTTTTTTGATATTTACTTAGGAATTTGTAAGAGGTTAAGCAAATGAAATATAAAACTGTAAAATGACAAGAAGTACTTTCATTCTTAGCAAGAGAAATCACCCTTCATTCAGACTGACAAAGGCTTCAGAAATTCACAAAAATTCCTTAGTGGAAATACTTTACTAAAGGATCTTTTTCCCTTGTGTACAATACTTTTTATGTGAAGATACACACAGTAAATTCAGACTTGTAGTTCGTATATTTTCATAGTTCCAAGGTTAGTCAAACTGACCAACTTTGTTCTTATAGGGTTAATAATTTCAATTTGTTCTTCCTAAACTTCTGTTTATATCAACAACTTCTTGCTTAAAAGTTTACGATGCTTTTTATACTTTAAGTGTTTTAAGCTTCTCTGATGGTGGAACTAGAAAAAAATCTGTAATTAAAAGTTTTGTTTTTGATATTACTGTGATTTTATTATTTCAAATACCACCTTAGGAATTATGTTAATCTTTGCAAAGAGGCTATCTAGTATTATCACAAGTCTCCTTGCCAAATAGTAAACACTGTACTAGGGTTAGAGTGAATTTGTTTTTCTGAAACATACGTATCTATCACACACAGTGACAAGACTTTTTAATAGTTTTGGCATATAACATCTAACACTATCAATAAATATTTTATACATTGTTTGTAAAGTAGCACAGACATATTATAATCTGATAGAGAAATTAAGTACTCATGTTAGTATGTATTCATAATTGAATGAAATCAAGCCAACCTTTTCTAAGGTTTGACTCAGTAAAAAAATAAAAATAATAATTTGAATTTAATAAGTTATTTATTTTCTTGAAATTTCCTAAGTACAAGTAAAATCCTCTAATGCCTAGCTCATTTTTAAAGAAATTAGGATCTTAATATTAATTTAACAATCATATGATTCAGCCTCAGAAGTTATCCTTACATAGTGAACAGGTGCTGATATTAGTTGTTTTTGGCATTCAAGGAGATAAAAACTACTTTTTCTTGCACAAAATTACATACTTCTTTTGAACTGCAAATAAAGCTTGAAACAATGATAAAGAAATGTGGAACAAGCACAATCACAAATAGACAAGCAGTCTTAAATGTCTAAGTTTAAACACATTTTTCAAGTATTTTAGAAAAATAAACAACAGTAATTCATTATTTCATGATTATTAAATTTTATTGCATGCTTAAAACATTCATGGATATATGTGACATGCGAGCCACTTACTAATATTTTTTGCAAGCCTTTGAATAATGGGCAGGTGTAAGATCAGAGGTTAGCTAATGGTACAAGGGAGGTGATTAAAATTGTCTAGTTAATTAGAGGCCAATTAGTCTTGCATCAGTGTAGAGAAAAGTCTTGAAAGTCCAATAAATGATGCTCCGTGAAGTAATTTAATAACTCTTAAATTTTGTTGAAATCAACGTAGTTTCACTAGGTGAACATTTTGCTTTACTAAAATATAACTGTCTTTGAAGAGGTTACTACTTTAGTAGACAAGGCTAAGGGTAGCATGCATCTGGATTTACAGACATCATTTGACAAGGTATCACATAAAAGTGTTTTTAAAACATTTCAATAGGTGTGGAGAATATGTTGGCTCATTGGCTATAAAAATGGCTTGATGGAAGAAAGCAGAGGGTTATTATACATGTAGTTTAGTCAAACTGGATTAATGTCACAAGTAGGGTACCTCAGAGCTCAGTGTTAGGACCCTTACTTCTTCTGATTTACATCGATGACAGATGAAGGAATGGTCACTAAATCATTTAAATTTGCTGATGATGTTAAGGTCTTAGGTGTTGCTGCTGCTTTATAAAAGAACTTTGATTATATGGAAAGTTTAATCATCTGTTTCATAATTAATGGTAAGAAAGTTAAGAATTTTTATTACTAGTGTAATACAGGATTATCACTTAATATTCCTGACATCATGTTCAAAAACCTGAAATACTTTGTTTCTTTATGTTCTTTATATTACTCTGTAAAAGGTTTAGTAAACTCTAAGCAAGTACCTTATCATGTGTTTGTTCCACATATTTAAACAAGAGGGGTGTAGGTGAATTTAATACTTTGGTTTTCCTGTAGAAAACTTTTTTTTTTTATTGTTACACTTTTTCACTATTTTATATTTAATACTCAACAGGGAATCATTAATACCTTTGATTATACAGTTTTTTTAAACATAAATTGTATTCTGTTATATAAAAAAAAAGACTTTTATACAGTGATACCTATTTCACATTCTAGTTCATTCTCCAAAAAAATCACTAAAACAAATTTTAAGAAAAAGCAGAATTATTAATAATGTAATTTTTTATTCTAATGAAAGATACCGGGTTTGAATTTATATAACTGCTTTAATATTAATACAAACTTAGCTCAGATAAGTTTCATAGATATTTACACAAATTAATCTTTGTTAAAGTTTAAATATTAGATAAAATGTTGAGAAGTCACGATTTAGTTACTTAATTAAAAATTAATATTTAAATTATGAAAATTTCTCTCATGCTGTAGTTTTTAATATTTATTCATAAATATTTATTTTACTAATGAATCTTATGCAGTGGTTACATGCCAGAGAGGGTATGTTTGTTTGTTTATAACTAAGCACAAAGCTACACAATGGGCTATCTGTGCACTGCCCACCACAGGTATCGAAACCCTGATTCTAGCATTGCAAGTCTGCAGACATACCACTTTGCCCCCGGGAGGCAGCAGAGAAGGAATGGTATCAATAAAAACACTGACTCACTTTCCTGATCAATGCTTTAAAAATTTAAAAGAAACAGTAATCACAAAAGAAAAATTAATGACTGGTAAACTAATCTCAACTGTAAAAAACTGACCAAAAATGGTACACCAAAATGTCAGAGTCTGAGCAACGAAAAAGTGCCATAACTACGAGAAGTTTAGTGTTACTGTAGTTTGTAAATTTTATATATTCACTTTACACTTGTAGTTGTATTCGTAATATATTGAATAGATTTAAATGTACGTGTATCACATTATAATTTACATTAATTTCTCTCAAATATGGAAATCTGAAAAATTGCAACAAAAGTTTAAAAACTTTAATGCATAATGTTTCACTACTATTTGTTTTTTATAATGTTTGATAGCTTTATAATGTTATACTTATAAACTTTCCTCTTGTTCGGTTCCTCTTGAACAGCACCGAGAGCATTGCTCAACACACCAACGTACTCGTACACTGTAACTGCAAGTCACAGGTTGTACACAGTATTTCATTATATGACATTATTGCACTACTATTAGGCCTATTCTCTAACATCAATGAACTTCCCCATCTTGTAGCGCAACTTTTATTCCTTCTAAACATAAATTACCGCGAAAGAGAATAAAACCTTAATATGTTGGGTAGAAGTGAAACTTACCACAGTTAACGCTGCCATTTAAAATCATTAAACACTTAATTTCTTCGAAACTATTTTGTAGGCTTCCTAGAAGCCGACGAATTACCACTGGAACCTCCTTTATATAGACGGTGACCCTTCTACCCGCCTCTTCCAGCCTCACAATCAACTCTGTGACGTAATATTTATTGTCGAGCCCTCTGATAAAAAGAAACTTTCTATCGTTACGATATATAATAATAATTAAATAACGTTAAATGTTTTATTTATTTTGATTACAATTTTTAACGGGCTATCTACATGCTATTAATATATTTTGTGAATAATAGAACTTTACACTTACTTTTTTTTGATATGATATGTCAAATAATTCCCCAATACTGAATGCGGTAAAACATCGTAAAATTACAAACTTGCATTTACTTTTTAATCAATAATATGAGAAACTTGATGAACTTTATGCATTTTATGAATAAATTCAGTGTTCTTTATAAATACGGAAAAATTGAGAATATTAGAATTAATTAAAAAACATATAATTAAAAATAATTTATTTTTCTAAACGCTAAGTCGGACAATGGGCTATCTGCGCTATGTTTACCACAGGGATCGAGCCTTATAAAAGGTCAAGATTACAGCTGAGCCAGGAGATCACTAATAAATAAACAGAAGCGCTATTAACAATAGTCTTTGAAATGGATTTGTAACTTTGATTTACAAATCTGTTTGTTAATTGTGCGATATACTACAATAGCCAAGTATTGTTTGTTGTTAAGCGCAGAACGACACAATGGGCGATCTGTGTTCTGCCAACTGCGGGTATTGAAACTGAATTTAGCATTATAAACTCTCAGGCTTACAATGGGGCAGAAGCCAAGTAGAGAGAATTAGTTTCAGTTTTATAGAACAAAATTTTTTGGAAAGAATAAGAGTGTAACTGTACAGGGAAATAGAGACCGTCAATGAAAAAATTAACAAACAGAAATTTATTAATTTTAAAAATTAAATCACTCGAACTGCCTTAGCCATTAAAATAATTACACCGTAAAATAAACGAAATATATAGCTTTCATTATCACTTCAAAAAATACATGGCCAAGTGGAAAAACAGAAAGAAATTAGTAGAATTAAAATAACTCCCACAATTTGTGCGTTGAATTTGTTTTACACATTTTCGGTCGCTAGTTTGGTCCTTCATGAAACTTTTGTTCGTTTGTTACTATACCTTGTTTTGTTTCTCACATCCATATTTATACGTCATTGTAAGACTACATCTCAAAATTCTAATATTAAGAAAAAAAATACTATAGTACTCAATGCTGTTCTGTGCACTGTAAAAGCAAATGTTCAGGTTTAAAACGATAAATAAATAAACACAAAGCTATAACACTTTTCAAAAATACCATTGAGTTTAATTACATTCATTAAAAGAATATATGTTTAGGTATTAAGCATTTATAATGTTTGTTTAATACACAGTATAAAGAAATAAATGTAGATTCAATTTGTCTTATAAATTTTGAGAACTTAAAAGTGAAAGTAATAAAAAGAGTGTATAACAATATTTCAACCGCATTAGAGCTTTAAAAGTCGTGATTTAAACATCAAAAGCTGGTGAAGATTTAAAAACCAATAGATGATGTTATTTTCTACATTTCTCTGATTTTCAATCTGAAATAGACGAATTAAAAGAAATGTGGGGGAAAATTCTGCACTTACGTGATTTTTATCACAAAATATTAGGGTACACTATATTTGCTATATCCAGTGTTGACGAGACCTTTCCTCAATACCAACTATAGAGTTTTTCTATAAAAATGATTCTGTTATCTATTAAACATTGCAGTGTTTATTGCGTAAAAATATAGCATTTATTTCATAAACGGCAAAATATGTTTAGAATGTATATAATGCAAACACGCTTATTGGAATGCAAGACTTTTTAAATGGAAAAATTACTTTATTTCACTTATGCTAAACACTAAAGTATTTTTACATACACCAACATGATACCACTAGCTGTCTTTCAGAAGATGAAAGAAATAAAACTAAACGATACGTTTGTGGCCCAAATCTACAGGCATTCTTTACCTCCCCCCCAAAAAAGTATTGTTACGACAGCGGAAGTCACGTGACGCTGGTAACACGTGATGAGATTCTAGAAGGATCGGGGAACCTCACGAACGTCCCAGCGTTTGCTAGACGCCCTCTATTTTAGTATGTAAGCCGGCAAATAAATTGATAACGGGATAGTCGAGTCAAGCCGTAAGTAAAGTGTGTAAATCATTGTGAATTATAGCGTGTGTTTATGTTAAAGTGACTGTGGAAATTATGTGTATTGCAAAGTTGTATTGAGGAAGAATAAACTAGTTTTATTTAAGAAAGGACTTGTATCGCTGAAGTTTCTCGGGAAGAATTTTTACGGGAAATTAACAAACGACCAGAGACGTAACAGTATAATCTTCGTTTCATTTAGCTATTTGCGAAAGTTTAGAAAACATATTTGTTTTCCCAGTGGTTTTATGACAACTTAACAAGCCTATTAAATTATCTATAATCAACAAAAGAAAGAGAAAAATGGGCTAAACATATGAAATAATTATAAATGACAGTTTTTTAACAGCCTCCCGGTGGCTCAGCGGCAAGTCTGAGGGCTTATAACGCTAAAAAGTACGGTGGACGGAGCACATAGCCAATTGAGCTTAACAACAAACAAACAAATAATATTTAATAATTAAATGTTTCATAATATATAAAAACAGGCAAAGAACGAAAGATTTAGCTTATTAACGCTAAAACGACACATTCAGCAGTTTTACAGTTTAATGGGCACAACTTAACTGTATCACGCCTGGATGGGTGCATAAAGTCGGTTTGCTTATA